GGCTCCCGAGCTCAGGCGGCGTTGGGGCCGGGCGCCTCACTCCAGCTTCTTGGCCAGCACCCGCGTCCGCGCGATGGCGATGGGCAGCAGGGCCAGGCAGCCGAGGCCAAGCGCCCACAGGGGCCGGTAGAAGAGCCAGCCGGCCGCCACCGTCAGCAGGGTCAGCGAGGTGGCCACGCAGAAGGCAAAGGCCTTCAGGCCAATGTTGACCAGGTCCCGGAGGACAGGGAGCCAGTCCACTGCGGGAAAGAGAAAGGCGGTGAGGCCCCCATGCCCCACAAGTGTGGCAGGACTGCTGGACCAGGTTCAGGGGGGAGTGGTGGGGGGCACATGGCCTCCTGGGTTGGGGGTCTGGGGGGTTCACACAAGGAGGAGCCCCATCAAGAGCTGTGCCCGCCACTGCCCAGGACGGCGAGTGGACGTGCTGCCTAGACCTCGGGTGTTGAGACCCGTGTGGGGCCAGAAGAGACACCCAGGGTGCCCACCCACTGCCAGCTCACAGAGCAGGCCGGGCCGAACCCGGCGGGGGCCTGTTCCAGCCCCTCAGCCCTTTCCGGAGGTGCCAGTCCCCTCGCTCCCGGCAGGGCTGCAGGAGGCCAACAGCCGAGCCGCCCCATCCCCAGGAGCCCGCAGGCCACTGCCCTCATGGTTAAGTGATTAAGTCATTAGGTCTCGGGTCCATCAACCTCTGGAATCACCCTGACCTTGGCCGCTGGCCTCTGCAAACGACCATTCTGGAGCAGACATCCACAGGGGCCAGGGGTCTGACGCCACCAGGTTTGCAGGGCCCACCTGGTGCCCACCCTGACTGCAGGCCCCGCGCAGGCCGCCTCGTGGCCTATCCTGGTCTCGCCCCACATGGCCCCCATTCGGTGTCCCCGACAAGCCGGGGCCATGCCTGGGCAATGACCACGCACCCGTGCACTGGCCACGCGCCTGTGCATCTCATCAACCCTGCCCACCCCGTAAGGCTGCCACTACTCTTAACCTCGGTTCACCCACGGGGTCACTGAGGTCCAGGAGTTAACTAACCTCACACCTAGAAAGTGCCCGAGCCAGGATTTAAACGCAAGGCTGCGTGCGGAGCCCAGCCCTTCGCCACTGTCTAAGCCCAGAGAGGACAGGGACCTCGTCCGTCCTGCTGCTGCGTGGCCTCCAGGGTCCTGCACACAGCAGGCGCTCAGTGAGTGTGCTGCGCACAAGGGGAGGCGTGAACGGCTGCTCTGCGCCCCACCCCCTCTTCCCTGCACTGAGCCTTTGTCCTCTGGAGGCCCAGCCTTCTGGTGTCGGGGAATCAGCAGGTCAGAGGCTGTCGGAGGTTCACAGGAGGGCCTTCTGAGACAGACCAAACCCCCTCACCCTGATGATGGGGGCACTGAGGCTCTGAGAGGGGAACGGCCTGTCCAAGGTCACAGCCACGATGGGCTCAGTGCAAAGACAGGGGAGTCTTCACATTTTCTCCCAGTTGTGCCCAAGGTGGCAAGCTGTCCAAGAAAGGACATGCCTTCCCCTCCCTGCATGTTTCCCGTCTGGGGCGCACTGCAGCCAGATTCCCCAGCTGGAAAGGGGGCTCCTGGCCAGAGATGGCTGGACAGAACCATCCGACGGGGTGGGGGCAGAGGCTGGGACAGAGCGTCCCAGAGAAGCCCCATCCGCCAGCCCAGCACTGGTCACCCTGGGTGCCCAGTCCTGAGCCAGGCTGGGCCACTCGGGCAATGACTGGGCTCCAGCGGGCCAAAGGCCAGCCCCGCGAGCTGCCTGGGACACTCCCCACTGTGCGCTGGACTTGCCGGAGGCTGTCCCGAGTCTAGCCCAGGGTTTGGACGAAGCTCAGCCTTTTCCAAGTGCTTCCTATCTGCCAAACATTTCACAAAATTGTGCACTAGGTGCCAGGTAACTGAAGCTGGGCAGGAAAGGACCCCCGAGCTCCGTTCTGGTCTGGTCCCCGCACAGGCCAGCTAGTCAGCTGTGGGGTGAAGGGGCGAGGGGTGGGCGGAGCGCAGAGACCCGCGCGGCCTCAGGAGCTGGCACCCACCACCTGCGCCTGGAGGCGTCCTGCCCTTCTGCTCCCTGGGGACACGGGGCGGGCGGAGGGCCCAGCCTCCGCCCCACAGAGCACCCCTCAGGCCAGGGAGAAGCAGAGGAGGCCCGCACCCAGCTCCCCTCACCTACCCAGGGTGTAGACGATCCGCGTCATGAGGTTGAGGCCCACGAACATAGCCACCCAGCCTGCTGCCCGCAGGCCCCACGTCTTCAGGGAGTTGCTCTTCTGTTCTCGACGGAACACCTCCTGCAGGATAAGCAGGGACGGACGTCACGGCTTGTGTCGGAGGGTCACTAGCCTACCCGGTCGGCAAGGCAGGTGCCGAAGGGGCCGGTGTTTCTGAGCAGACCTAAGGGAGGGAAGGGCATGCCTCCCACCCAGGCCTTGTCTACCTGCACCGCACAGCAGGTAAGGGATCTTAGGCAGGTGGGGGCCCCTCAGACCACAGCCCACCTCCTCCAAGAGCCACCAGCCCGCTGTCCTGTCCGATGAACCTGACCCTCCATGTGCAGCGGCACCTTCCTGGGGTCATCTGTCCCCCACCCTACAGAGGTGCTGATGTCCGAGCGTGCTGGCCGGGCCCACGGGAACTGCCTCATGTGTGGTGCCCGGCTTCATCTGGGACGCCGCTCTCCTTGTTCCCCTCCTGCTTCTCCGTCCCCATTGCTGTTCCCTCCCACTGGCTGTCCTCTCAGCGCTGAAATGCTAGCACTCAGTCTCCACTCCCCGGAAACCTAACTGCTGGTGCCCCTCGGGGGGCGCTGCGGCTCTGGCGTTTCTCCTTGGCAGGGACCCCCGACACTACGCTGGGGCCCAGCATGGTCACGAAGCACCTGCCGCTCCAGTCACTTCCTTCCCTCCTGGGGATTCCTGGGGGGGGACAGCTCTGAGACACAGGCCCCACCTGCAGGAGGCTGGAGCCCCAGGAGGGAAAATGCACCTGGACTGGGCCTCCTAATTCTAGAAACTCCCTTGGTTGTGGGGAGGTTGACAACTGGTCTGCCAGGCTGGGAGGGGCCAGCCCCACCCTGCAGTTGGTAACTGGGTCCTGGGCCACAGCCTGATCACACCCAGGCCACAAAAGGCACAGCCCGGCACCACCAGGGCCTAAGTGAGGGGGCAGCTGCGGGCCAACAATCGGGTCAACAGGTCACAGCTAAGCCCCAACCTGCCCCCTGTGCCTCCCAGACCCTCACGGGTTGAGAGGTCCCACAGCCCCACTCAGGGCAGGTTCACAATGTCCCTTCAGGGGTACACTGGTTTCATCAACAATGTAAAACTGTTTTTCTGTTAAAGAGACAGGTTTCCTGCCTGGAGAAGAGAGGCTGACTTCCAAGGAGGGCACAGAACCAACCAGCACACCCTCACACCTCTCCGTGGGGCTTGGTGAGGTGTGACCCCCGTTTTACAGATGGGACAAGGGCCCAGGGCGCTCTGGGGCCACTGTCTGGGGTGCCTGTGCTCAACCCCCAGTCCTGGGACAGCACAGCGCAAGCCCTGCACCCCAACCGACGCTCACCTCTCACCTCCCTGGGCAGGGCAGCGTGATGGTCCTGGTGCCCCATCCTGCCAGAATGACCGACTGACCCCTTCTCTTTACTTGGGACTCAGCAAAAATGTCACTCGCTGACCGCCGTCGCAGGAGGTTTCCTATCACTGTTACTTCCGATCCTCTGCCTCCCCTCACACTAGCCCGCTGGGGAGCCTGCCCCTCCCTGCTCGCTCCTGCGCAGGGAGCACGGCCCGCACGCACAGGGACGCCTCAGTCCTTCCAGCGCTGTTCCCTGCCGCGCTGCCCGGTGTGCTCTGTGTTGGGAGCTGGTGACATGGCCACCGGAGGGCAGAGCACAGGTGCGCAGTGGCTCTCACCTCTGCCGAGAAGTCCCCGTGGTGCAGGAGAAGCAAGGTGTCCCCCGACCTGGTGGAGTAGGGGACCAGCTGGTCACCCCGCTGCCGGGCAATCACAGTGACCTGCTCAGAGAGTAAGGCTTAGAGCCAGGGGCCCAGCTCCCCTGCACTGTGCCCCCGAGGCAGCAAGAGGGAAGACCCACGGCCCCCCTAGCCTCTCCCTCCACATTGGCCTGGAGGGCACAGCAGCTCCCTCTCCACCCAGGGAGGACCCAGCACAAGTGCGGGTCGGGCAGGGTGGGGCTGGGAACCGCAGGAGGCACGTGAGGTCAGGAACCCGGGACCAAGGATTCCCAGAGCAAACACTGGGGGCTGGGAAGAGCTCTCACCAGGCACAAGCAGACCCCCACGCTCACACAGTCCCTGTGTCTGAGACCAGGGGGGCCGGGGGACCCGTGAGTCTGCACAGGGAGCATTTACCACATGAGCTGGGCCCAGGTCGGGGTCATCGCCACTCAGCCCCGCGTAGGAAAACGAGACGCGCAGGTCTCCGACCTGGGAGGGGGAGAAGCGGAGAGGGAGGCGGGAGCCTTCAGCCTGGACCCGCGGCGCCCTCCACCCACCACGATCGCGCCCTCTTCCCTCCGGCAGCCCCATCAGAGCGGGCAGCAGGGCTCTGAGCCCGTGTCCCTGGGGGCGGGACTCCGGGGCCCGGACTCTGCTATCTGAGCGCCAAGCCCCACCAGGCACCTCCGGATACTTGGGGTTTTCACTGTGGTAGAAGTAGTCCCCCCGGCGGATGATGTCCACGTGCGGGTCCTCCAGCTTGGACAGGCTCAGTGGCTTGAAGTTGTCCACCTTGTCGATGAGGCCTGAGAGAAGCAGGGCTCAGAAGCAGTGGTGCGTCTGCGTGGCACTCCTGTCTGCAGCCCTCAGCCCGACAGCCTTCCCCGCCGCCCTCACGGGACCCAGCCCTGCGGCCAGCTCCCCTAGCTCCCCACCCATCGCTTCCGCACACATCTCCCTCCTCCGGCTCTGTCCTTCCACGCTGCCAGCCCCACTTCGTCTCCATCTCCTCCAGGAAGCCTTCCCCGCCCCCTCTCCCCGTCAGTCAGTGACCACGGCTCTGGAAGGGCCTTGACCCTGCAGGCACACCACCGTGGGTCCGGTCATCCCTGTCCAGGCCTGGCTGGAACCAGCTGAGCGGCAGAGCAGATGGCAGAGAAGCCAGGCCCTGGCTCACCCGGCCTCCTCCCTCCCTGGCTATCGGCGCCCTGAGTGTCGTCGCTCCCACAGGCCCAGGACAGAGCCCCAGGAGTCTCCATGGCCAGTGATACCGCCTAGCCCCCTGGAAGCCTCTCTCTGGGGGTGCTGCGAGGCCTGTGGTGAACCAGCCCCTCTGGCACAGGGCTGGTGCCGGCGGGGCTCAGAAGTGGAGGAGGAAGGGCTCTCGGCCCTGCCTGGTCAGCACAGGCACCAGCGTGGCGGCCTGACGGGGTCGTGGTGCTTGACAGCTGCTTCCCCGAACAGGTTCCAGGGAAACTGGCCCTGGTGGGGCATCCTCCACAGGTCCCCATCTCCTGAGGACGCACCTCCCCCCTGGCCCTGCGTCCAGGGCAGGGGCGGGGGGCACCTCTAACCACCTGAGGGCCGAGTGCTGGGGCCCCGACTGAGTGGACGCACACGGCTCCGGGCCGGAGCTGGCTCATCTGAAGGGTCCCGAGACTCACCTGCCGAGAGGAAAAACCTGCCGATTTGGACAAAGGGGGCTGTTGCGGTGAATGACTCCACAGCCATTGCACTGTGGGAGAGAGGGGGGCCACTGGCGAAAGGGGGAGCCAGGTAGGGTGTCTGGGTCCCCTGGGTTCTGTGGGGCCAGGTCCCCACCCAACAGGCTCCTGCAGGTCCAGTCCAGCCCAGCCCTGCAGAAATCTCATCTCTGCCCCCGGCCCGCCCTCTCCCTGGGCGAAGAACCCTCCTCCTGCCTCTGTTCCCCAGAACCTCACACCCTCTTGCCTGGACTCCTCCCAGCCTGTCCCACCCTGCCCACCAGCCGGCCCTTCCATGGACTGCACACCCTCACTGCCCCTTCCCTGCCTCAGGCCACATCCCAGCCCCACTGTGAGCATTCAAGGCGTTACTGACACAACTCAGCCGGTCACCGCAGGCACTGCACACTCCGGCTCTCCTGTCACACCTGTTTCACCACCCCCTCCCCACCCCAGAGCTAACCTTCCTCTGCTAGACCCTACAAGGCCCAGGTCAGGTGCTGCTGCCTCCTGAGAGCCCCTGCTCACCATCCTCCCACCCACCCCGACCGCTGACAACCCCTCCAGGCACCAGTCCAGCCTCATCCCTGTGACGGTTTGAGGGAGGTCGCCTGGGGCCAGGGGAGTCGGGTTTGGCCTCTGTGTTCCTGGGCCCAGCACAGGAGCTGACCTCGGACCCCAGTCCCACATTTCCATCAGCTCATGAGACAGCAGTAACTCGATCCCACTGCTCAATGGGGAAGCCGAGGCTGGGAACCTGCCAGTGGCAGCCAAGGCTATGCGCAGGCCTGGGGACCCAGCTCTCACCTGGGGTTTTTGTGGCCAATCTCTCGGTCAAAGTTTCTGCTGTTGATAATTTCCGATCTCCATTCAGTGTCTGTTGCAGAGAGAAGGAACAATGCAGAAACCAAGGTAAAACTGGCCACAGGTCTGAGGCCCACTGCCCACTCCCCACCCCCGTTCTCTTGTCTAAGCCTGTGACCACTCGAGGGCCAAAAAGGCAGCTCCTGGAGCCTCGAGGGACAGACAGGAGAGCGGGGCGCAGAGGACCAGCACCCAGAAATCCCGACTCCTGCTGAGGACAGAGACCACAGGTGTGCAGAGAGGTGCCCAGAGGGGGACGGGGCCCGGTACTCACTGTAGGAGTACCTCCTCTCTGTCTTCACCTGCCCGTCCTCGGTGTACTCCCTGCGGGGAAAGCACAGGCAGCCCGGAGTCAGCCCATTACTCCTGAGGCATTCCCATCTCTAAGCATCTCCAGCTGGAAGCAACCTTGGGGCTCCCAGGTCAGGCTGGCTCCCCAGGTAGGCAGGCTTGGTCTGCACCAGCCCAGGGACAGGGTCTCCCTGGCAAACAGCCAGCTCCCGCCCTTGAAGGCCCTCACTGGAAATAAAGAGCTTTCTCATCCTGAGTTGAAACCGGTCTCCCCTGGCTGACACCAGGGTCCCAGCCCTGCCTGTGGGGGGTCATCTGCCTGCACCTCTGCTCCGGGTCAGCCCTGTGGATGCCCCTGGCTCCACCACCAACCTCTCCACCCACACTCAGTCCACAGGGCTCAGCTCAGGTGATCCCAGGTTGGCCGATGACAGTCTGCCTGGGGCTCCCATTCAAGCCCATAGGGTGTATCCCAGGAGGCCACCTCTGCCTCCTTCCCTCATGGGAGAGAAGATGGAACCAAAACACGAGATCAGCTGCGCCATGAGCTGGGGCAGCCGTGGGTAAGTTCCCAGGCAGGGAGCTAATCAAGCCCGCTTTCTTCTCGGAGCCGCCCTGCAGCAGGTTCCCGCCACCGCCAAACAAAAGGCCATCGGCTAACAATGAGAGGATAATTTGTATTTCTCCGGTAGGAAGACTTTAAGTTTCGAAGTGTCAAAATGAAAGCCACCTGCACCTCACCCAACACCCGCAGCTCCTTCACCCCCCGCTGACTCTTTGCCCGGCGCCTCACCCGGACTCCTCGGTTTCCACCCACTGGTACATCTCCACCTGCCGCCGCAGCTTCACAGCCGGAAGGTGGACCCCGTAGTTTGGATCAGACAAGAGCTTCAAAAAGAATCAAGCAAACCAAGAAAAATAAAGGACAAGATTCACATCAGCCCAGAACACAAGCTCAGGGGAAGCTGAGCTGGAGGAGAAGCAGGTGCAGAGCAGGACAGCAGGGAGAAGTCCGGGGCTGCTTGGCCAGGAACCCAAGGACGCGGTGGAGATCTTGCACTGGACACACACACCCACCGTCACTGTCCAAGCACCTCTCTGTGAAGCTCAGGCCAGGCTCCAGAGTCCCGCCCGACCTTCAGAACTGGCCTCCAGGTTGTTACAATTATTCTCCCCACTCAACAGAGAGAGATGTTGACACTCAGGAGTGATGGGTCCACACAGCTGCGGGGGTGGGTGGGTACCACACCCAGGGTGTCGTCTCCAAGGCCCACGCTTCCGAAATCCCCAACCAGGCCATACCCGCAGTGAGCGCCAAGCCTACCTTGGACGTCCGCAGGGCCCCGATGATGTGCACCAGCCTGCCCTCGTTCTCCGGGGCCACGCTGTGGATGCTGTCTGGGGTCACCACCAGGGAGAGCCCCTCGGCCAGCGAGGTTGCCGTCTTCAATGCTCGGCCCTGTGCGCAGTGGGGAGCAAGGATTTCAGCCTCTCAGGCTGGACTCAGCTGTGCTCTGCCCAGGGCATCCGCTTTCCCAGGCAGGCATCCCTGCCCTGCACCCCTGCCCTCCCCTCCTCTCAGTCCATGCACTTTTTCTGCTCCACTGTTTAAATCATATGACCCAGGCCTCTCCAATCAGAATCTGTGTCTTCTAGACACAGGGAGTAGTTCAGCGAGAGGACTGTGACCCAAGCCAGGACACTGAGATCGCCCTGCGACTTTTGCTAAATTGATTTAGAAACAGATGGTTCCTCTTTTCTCTGGGGTTGCTAAGCTGCTTGGATGTGACCCTGGAGTTGCTGGGCCACTCTGCCACCACGTAGGAAGAGCCTGCCAAAGAAATATCCACAACAGAGAAAAATGGGCAAGAGGTGGAGAAATGGATATTCCTGGTGACCCAGCATGAACACCTGGATCCAGCCATGCCTGAAGCTACCCCCAGGATTTCAGGTGTGTGACCCATTCCATTCCCTTTCTTTGCTTGTGTCAGTTGTGAGGTGAGTCACAACAGAAAGCACTCTGATCAATTCAGCCCCGCCCTCACAGAATCTAGGCCCTTATCACCACATCCAACCCCTGGATTCACAGCTGTGGCCCTCCAAACTGCGGCAACTCTCACTCTGCACACAGGGGCCCCGGACAGCCTACCTCATTGGTGAAAATTAAGTAGAAGGAGAGCAGGAAGGTCACGAGCCCCACGGACATCCCACCCCAGGTCTCGCTCAGCCGCTCCAGGAAGCCTGGCTGGGGCTTGGTTGTTACTCTGACATGTTCTTTCCTGGTACTCAGACCAGAATACTGAAAAAGGACATTAAGAAAACCAAAATGAAATTGCTTTTTAAAAAATAAACTGAATTTCACTATTTATTTATACTAGGTTTTTTATTGATTTTAACTATACATGTTAAAAATGCAAAGACATCAAGTGTTCAGTTCTGACGGGTGCATGCCAGAGCGTCCTTGTGCCCCTTTCCTGCCAACACTCCCCTCTCACCCTGGCCCAGAGGTAACAACTATTTGTATCTGTATCACTCCTCTAGACCCTGACATGAATGGAATCACCACACAGCATGAACTCCTTCTGTCCAGACCCTCTGACTCAGCAGTGCTTCTGAGGGTCCTCTGTGCTGTGTGTCAGCGCTCCACTCCTTTTCATGGCTGAGTAGTGTTCCGTCCACCACACACCCATGTACTGACTCACTCAGCAGTGGATGGATGGATACTGTGCTTGTTTCCAGTTCCGAACTAATACGAACAACTTCTACGAACACTCATGTGTAAGCTGGTGAAATAACATGTGCATCTGAAGGCAGGACAAGAACATTTAAACATAAAATTCTCTCAGTCCGTCTGGGCCTCCTCCCTCCCTCCCTCCCTAACCTGCAGTGGGCATCTGCATCACACAGTGACCAGACCTCCTCAAAGATGGGAGTGCCTGCTCGACTGTAAAGTTCTTTTTTTTTTCTCCTTTTTTTTCTGATTCTAGCGATGTGACTTCATAAAAGAATAGCGTTCTTTCCCAGCTCTGTAGGGCTCATGGTGACTTACTGCTCGCTTTGTGCCTGCCCACCTGGCCTGTGTGTCCTTGGGAAACTTTATGTAAAACATCAGTGTGTCACTTTGTGCACGACCCTTCGACTGGAAAATGTACGACCGTGCCTTCAACTTCCAGCAGGTGCAACAGTTCTCAGAGCTTCTGAGAGTCTGTCTCCAGGGTTATAATCCTGTTTGGCGCAAATAAAATACCCTTTTTTCCTTCTGAACTTGATTGTTAATTGAATTTTCGTCAACAAAGTCTTCACGGAGATACGTGCTTTCATTTCCCTCGGGCATCGGGTTCTCAGGAGTGGAACTCATGGATCATAGGGAAGATGTATGCTTTTTAAGAAACCAGCAAACTGTTTTACAAACAGGTTACTAACGATACGTTTTTAATTCAGCTCAACAAATAGTGGCTGAGCTGCTCAAGGACAGTGCCAGGCCTTGCAGGGGTGAGATTGTAGGGGTGAGTGGCTTTAGGGCCATCAAGTCACAGCCACAAACAGGGCTTGGCGTTCCTGAGTGCCTGGTGAGAGGGGCAGGTCCGGTGCTAAAGGAGTGACCCCTTCCAGCTGGGGGTCAGGAAGGTTCCCTGGAGGAGGGGGCATTTGAGTGGGACTCAGGCAAACCCAGCGGTGAGGGCATCCCCAGCAGGGGGAACCATCTGGGCAATGGTGGGGAAGTAGGAAGTGGTTCTGGGGGAACGGCTGCCTATCCGCTCTGGCCGGGTTGTGGGGGGCATGGGGAGAGGGGAGGGGGCTGGGCACGGATAGGGAGACCATGGTAGACCACAAACTCCAGTCAGCGGGTCGGGCCTTGTCTGGCCGGTAACAGAAGCACGCTTTAGAGCGTGTCCACTGCCGATCCTGAGTGCTGCTGTGGAGCCAAAGACTGGGTGCGAACGTAGGACCTGCTACACAACAGCCAGGAGACCGTGGGCAAGCAGTTTCAGCCCTCTGTGCCCACTTCGTCACTGATGAGTGGGGCCAGCTATCCAGGACACAGGTGGTGACGAAAATCAGAGGACGTGATCACTGGACGCTCAGTGCCGAGGCCTGTGCTGGCTGGTGGGAATGTCACCAGCTTTCTCTGTCATGGACACCAAGGCTGGGCTGGGCTGGGCTGACAAAAGCCACAAAGACCTCAGTGGTTCCTGGAGAAGCACTCAGGGTGAGCTAGCCAATCCTGGCACTGGGGGATTGGAGGAGATTCCAGTCAGTTTCTGTTTGAACAGGCTGGTGCCATGTTCTCTGACTGTGCCCGAATGCCACCAGCCCAGGCCTGCCAGGGACCAGTTGTCCATTGCGTTCAGAAATGGTCTTCACTTTCCATGCCATTTGGAAACATTAGTGGAGCAATTTGCTGTAGGCAGGTAGGTGACCATCAACAATCATAATGATGACAATGACAAACACCCTGGTCTATCACAGGCTAGTCACGGATAAGCCCAAGGAAGTAGACACTATCATGACCCCATTTCACAGATGAGAAAACAGATGCTCAGCAGTTACATCACCAGTCCAGATCACACAGCTTCTAAGAGGGGACTCAGGATTCAAATCCAGGCCGACTGGAGGCCACTGTCCTACCACTTGCTCTGGACTGCGTTCCTCACTTCTTGGGCTGTAATGGGAGTTGAATATGGGAGCCTACTGCAGGCAGGACAGGAAAAGAAGCCAGTCTCGCTGCCCCCAACTCGGGGGTGGGAAGGCCTGGCTTCCTCAGGGGTCTCCTCTCAGCACACACCGAGGAGCCAACATCAAGATAAGGGGCTCAAAGATAGCCTTGAACGGAAGGAAGAAGGTGCCCCGCTGTTGGGTGACTCAACAAAGGTTTGACACCAGAGGACACCCAAATTCATCTATGTGCCTTGGCAAAGGTCAGGACCCAACATACCTAAAGTGGCAAAGTGGCCTCTACACACCAGGGCTGTGAAGGTAAATTTTTTTTTTAACCTACTATGCACCAGGCACTGTGCTAGGCACAGTTTCCCTTCAACTTCACAGTAACTGATCCCACAAGGAAACATAAACCCCAAGAGGTGATGGGCACACAGCAACTGAGGAAGAATTTGGATTTGCCAGCAGGTAAACCTGATTCCCAAGCCTGCCACCATCCCCTGACACAGCCTGCCAGGCTGGCTGTGAGATTTGGCAAGCGCCTTCCCTGCTGGGGAGATTCCTCATCTGTAAAATATGGCAGCGGAGGTGTGGGCGCAGGCCGGTCCGACTGCCTTCTCCCCACGCAGACCCCAGGCTCACGACCACCTCTGAGGCTTTTCTAGGTGCTCCATTTGAGGCTTTTTGGCCTCCCAGACAACTCCAATCCAGGCAGAGCGTGCTAGGGCCATGGGTGACACAAAGCCTGCCTTCTCAGGGGGTGTGGGAGGCAGAGAGGATGCTTGGGGACAGAGGAGGAGCCTGGAAAGAGGGTGCAGCAGGCCTCGGGAGAGCGGCCAGGGCACTCCCCCAAAGCGGGAGGGAGGGAGTGTGTGGGACTGGCAGGGCTCCCAGCTGGCCCCAGAAGCACTTTCACATGGGAGGGGTGCAGTGAGTCACCAGCCTCTCCCACACCCAGCACCCTGGCAAGAGGTGCTGCTCCGTTTGTTGAGTGATGCTGAGCTTAAATAGAAAGGTTCCTGAGACAGGCTAGCTTAAGGGAGAAGAAACAGCAGCCTTTCCAAGGGCACCACGTTCAGCCAGGGGCTCTCCAGCCAAATACGTGCTAGGAAGACCAGGGGCCCGCCAGTAGGGAACTGCTCTCTCTCATCGTCATCCTAACTCCTCTGCTCCCAACCCAGTCCGCGCCTCCTTTGCAGCATCACAGCGTCGGTGTACATACTCCGGAGAGCGGGGAGGTCACTGCCTCCCGGACAGCGCGTGGCTCTACTAACCCGTGCGGTACCCGCTGCCCCACCGCTCCCGCGGACCGGCCCCCTCTCTGAGGTCCCGTCCAGCCCTCAAAGTCCGCAACTGTGAGAATCCCAAGAGCCCAGGCGGGAGTGGGGACGAAAGGAGGGGCTGCGAGGAGGCGCGCACAAACCACTCCCGAGGCTGGGAGCCACACCCCCCAGTCCCCGTCCCCACAACCGCTCGACCCGAGGAGGAGGTGGAC